TTTACTGGGCACAGCAGAGTAAAGCCAGACTTTTTTCTTTAAGATTTTGCAGTTATCACCATAAAGACATGTCCTCATTAAAACATATTTCACTTTAAAGTACGAATTAGTAACTAATACATGAAACAACAGTTGAACATTTTCCTTTTGGATTTTGTACTTCAGAATTGTCAGAATGAGATTTGCAGAGATTAATGAAAATGAATGACAACCAACCAAAAACTTACTCTCAGTTTTCTCTGAAGTTCTCAACCTGTTTAAAAGCAAACATTTGATATTTCACTCCAAAATTTCTGTCATTAAGCTAACACTGGTACATAAAATGAGATGTTATCTATGTGAAGGCAAAACTCACAAAGGTTTGATCGGCAATCATAAAGCAAAATAACCCTCAGTGCAATTCTGTTAATTGCAATGATCAGCAAATAATCTTCAGTTACTGAAAAATAGCCACGTTTCTATCTCTGCTTTATGTCGAGCTGCTCTTACGATTCTGCACCACTGTTCATATCATGTACGCTGCAATAACAGTACCGGTTAAAGACCACTTCAATCACACGCACAATTGTTCATTTTTCAATCAATGCTGAGATGTGTTCAAAGCTACGCACCCCATTACCACTGCTTGCACAAAAACGGACTTTTTAAACGAATGGTACTTTGGATTAGCAAGGCTGCAGAGAGACTACAGCACCAGCATTAACGTTCCAGCAGCCCCTGTTACAGAAGGTGGAGGATAGGATTCGCCTCACAGCCCAGAGAGACCCCACTGAAGACAACAGACTAAGTGACAGAACCAGGCCATCAATGGCCTGTACGTCCTGCTGCTAAGTATGCAGTTTGCCTGCTGCCCGTAAATGACTGGGTGAAAACCAAAACAAAACAAAACAAAACAACCACAGGATGAGTGAAAAACACAGTATCTTTCTTCCTCTTCCCATGGTGAAATCACATGGGATGTGACAGCTTGCTAGTGTCTTTCATTTACTGCATCTACCGTGTTACTAAGTAAGAAAGGTTTAAAAAATTGATGAAAATAAGAAAGAAAAGGAAAAGGAATGTAGAGACAGCACTGCATGTGGAAAAAATAGCCCCAACATTAAGATATTGATCAACCAAGCTGTGGGGGAAAAAAAAAATCAAAGGACCCGCACTAAAACTGTAAACACTTTTGAAATCAGTATACTTTTACTGAATATAATCAAAGCCTAAATAACTATTGAAAACCCATTAAGAAAACCAAGCTAAATATTCTGTAAATCTGCCGACTCAGTGCGAAAGAGATTAATCAGAGAATGAGAGAAGCTTTCAGGAGCTGCTAACATTTTAATTATTAAAAAAGGAAACATGCAATTTACACAGCAAAAGCAAATGCAAGTTTTCATGCTCACTAGATTGGAATAATGGCTAGTGAAGGATGCTATGGTGATCTTAGTGAATGAATTAGAAAATTAGATTATTGTTAGAGTAAAAAGGGATGTCTATTCCACCTAAAACCATAAACTTTGTTTAAAAGGATCTCCTTTATCACTATAAATAAGGCTTCATTTAAATAAATTTTAACAGAAGAGTTGCCTTAACTCTTCATTTCACATAAATTTCTCATCCAGAAAGTGTAGAATATTCTTTCTAAAAGCAAGTGATGAATATCTTAACATGCTAATAATACATACAAGGAGTTCCTGTTCAGATTACTTTTCTTGGTGGTTCCAAATATGCTATTACTCAAATCCTGCAAAGAAGAGAGATATTTTTACTGGTAAAATCTTCACGTTATTGTCATAGACACACTCCAGAACTCAGAAAGGTATAATCTTGAAAACACTTATTGTTATGCTTATTGTTAGCATGAATAATGACACTGACAGGTAGGTCAATCACAGCATTGCTGTACTTACACTAAAATGCAACTAATTTGCTCACGTGACAGTTTTCCATGCTGACTCCATACATTTTAATAAAATACTCAGTTACCCACTGTATCTCATTATACTCACAAAAGCATGTTAAAGATCTTCTAACACAGACAGTATTAGAGAACTCTCCTTACATTGAAAAATTCCAATTTAGGCATAGGCTTTACAGTTGTAGAAAATAAAATGCCCGCTAAACTGCTCTAACAGAAGAAGGTAACAGACTGAGCAGCTTTCCAGTGATATTTAAGGCACATATTTTTCAGTTCTCATAATTAAAGAAGTATTCAAAAAGTTTTCTAAACTTCCAACCATATTAGGTAAAATTTGGCCACCCAGGTGGCCCAATCCTAATGTACTAGTTAGAAATAAGATTATTCTTCTGAATATTAGTCAGGAATCAATCCTCAAAAGACACAGGGCCCCCAGAAGAAGTTTAAAGATGATAAAGTTTAAAGATAAACTAAAATTCAGCTCTGAATATTATCTGAAACCTAACTCACAATTTCTTTATTTCATTCATATTTTCACCTTGTAGCTTGCTTTGCAGGTGAAAAATTCTTTAACAAATCCAAAATCTTTCTACACAGACCATTGCTTTGCTCCCTGCTGCCCATCAAGAGGGATTTCTGAAC